GACAATAAAAGTATATAAAAATTAATTTAAAGCATATTAATCTCACTGAAAATTGTACATACATAATTACTATATATATGCATATGCATATATACATTTATATATATATATATTATATATATATATATATATATATATATATTTCATAGTAAAACATTTGAATTCTGAGAGTATGGATATGATTATAATGTTCTACTGTATATACATGAGCTACGTAATTTTTAAGATACCATACAATATTTGACCTTGAATGACCTATTTGTGGCAATCTGACCAGGTAAAAAATGGTAATGGTATGGTATATACATTGAATGACCTTAAATGACCTTTTATGATCCTAATGACCATGTCACAAGTGTTATAAATCTTTGACCATGAAATATAATTTTAGATATCATAATTCTCATTAAAGTGGTTTAAAAACCGATATATTGATAAATATAGGATTTGCGTGGCAGCAATTTTGAAATTCAAGATGGCCGCCATAATGGCCTCGAATGAAATATTGCAGTTCATATTAAAGATTTTGAATTCTGAGAGTCAGGGTATGGTTCTAATGTAAAATATGACAATTATGTAATTTTTAAGATACCATACAATATTTGACCTTAAATGACCTATTTGTGGCAATCTGACCAGGTCAAAATGGTATGATGGTATTCCTTGACCATATAAAAATAGTTTCAGACATTAGAATTATAATTCCAAGTGGTTTAGAAGCGGAGATATAGATAAACATAGGTTTTATTAGGCGGCCATTTCGAAATCCAAGATGGCCGCCATAATGACCTCGGATGAGGTGGTTCCTACCAAAAATTGAATGCTATGACCATAAGGAGCATGCAAAAAAAAAATTGGTGCCTTTGTCTGGAACGTCCACATCCATCTGCTAAGCTGCCGGACTATAAGTAGATCCCTGATAAAAGATCATGAAAAATCTGTTGGCGCTTCATTTTGACTATATAATGGTGATTTGATGATGAATTCTACTATATATAAAAGTGTCATGTCTGGTCATCTAGGGTACTATTTCCTTTAATTTTCTCGGCTGAGATTGTGAAGTCATATTTTTGAAGTATATAAAGTACATACAGTAGTCAAAGACAATGTTTTTCTGCTATATTTCTATGGTAGATCACACAAATTAATAAGATGGTTGCCGAAAATCCCAGATAAAAGATCATGAGATTTTTTTTTAAATTTTTTTTTTTGTCGCTTTATTTTGACTAATTGTGATGTGATGATGATGAATTTTACTAAAAGTGTAATTTCTGACCATTTAGAGGTACAGTATTAGTTCCTCAAATGTTCACACCTCAGGTGGGTCTGGGGTGGGTATCGACTCACAAATTTCCCCCTTCTACCTTTCAAAACAGATCTGCGCCCTTCCCTAGATATGGCATTTAACGCCATCGAGTCTGCACCTTACTCAGAGTACCTGTCTAGTGACTGCTGAGGCGAGGGTGCATACATTTGTATTTAGGATGTGATCTGGGTTTTTATTCCCAATTTTTTAGTGATTATGTTTTTTTGTTTTTTTTGTTTTTTTTTGATAAAGAATGTTTTGAACAGTGGCGGATTTTTTAATGTAAAAAATGTAAAAAAAAAGAAAAATATATACAAATTTATGTCTGAGAGTGTAATTTCGGCCATCTAGAGGTGCCCTAAACATAAATTTTCTTCTTTGGGTAGTTCCTCAGTCTGTAAAAGACCCTCCCTGGGTCACCTCACTTTCGAATTTCTGGATCCGACACTTTTGATTTGTTATATAACTATTGTTAGACTTACTAATATTAGTTATGATGCGTTTATTGCAATTTTTACTTTATACTCTTAAAACAGTTCCACCCATGGGAAATTTACGAGGATCTGAAGAAGGTTTCTGTTTCGAAATCAACTGGTCCAGATGGTGTCCCACAAAAGGTGCTTAAAGGATGCGCCTACGAATTCAGCCTACCTGTCACACATGTCATTAATTCCTCACTTGCGCAAGGCAAAGTGCCATTGCAGTGGAAATTGGCCAATGTGATCCCATTCCGAAACAGACACCCCCTTCTATTAACAAATTTAGACCAATCTCCCTGACCTTGGCTAAAATTGCTGAGAAAAGAGTGTCAAGGTTTGTGATTGATGCAATTAACCCTTTTATTAAACAACAACAATATGGAAATCAAAAGGGAGTGTCCACGACCCACTGCTTGATAGATGTTTATAACTTTTAAATGTCAAATTGTGAGAAAAGAGGATCAATACGCACTCTTGTTCCGTACAGACTTTACCAAAGCTTTCGATCTGATCGATCATCGAATAGCTTTTAACAGTTTATATAAATTTGATATCTCTCCATCTATCTTGCAGTGGGTCGTTGACTTCCTTTCAAATCGCAAACAGAGGTGCAAGTATAAAAACTGTTACTCTGATTGGGAAGTTTTAACTGGTGTCCATCCCGCAAGGGACTATCCTAGCACCAATTATTTTTCTTTGCATTATTAATTTGCCCTTAGTGATGTTCCTATTGATGGGGATTTCATCTGGAAAAATGTTGATGACCTGACACTTGGACAGAGTAGGTTGGTGGAGGGTCAAAGTTCCCTTTAAGCTAAACTTGACTCACTTTCTGTTTGGTCAGATACCAACAAACTCAAACTGAACCCCTCCAAGTGTCAGGTTATGCAAGTCCATTTTGGCCGCAGTGATGTTCCAGATATGAACATCCCACATATCCAATAACCGTTTAACTGTTACTAATAACTTCAAACTACTTGGAGTAAGCAGTGACCTAAAATGGGAAAATCTTGTTGACCTAATGGTCAAAAAGGCTAATAGGAAATTATTTTTCTTGAGAAAATTAAAAGATGCTGGTTTCAATAATAATGAGTTGTTAACAGTCTACATGGGATACATACGGCCCACCCTATGCAGCTCCTGTGTGGTCTGGGGGACTTAATTCATTTTACCAGGAGACTTCTTTGGAAAGGGTGCAAAAACGTGCATGTCGGTCCATTCTCGTAAACAATTATGTTGACTATCAGGATGCTCTCGAAAAGCCTTGGCTGGAATCACTCGCACAAAGTAGGATTTTATTATGAAAAAGTTTGCTAAAAACATTAGCAACAATAAAAAATTTAGTCACTGGTTCCCAAAATCTAAAAATATCTCATCAATGAAACTTCGTAAACATAGAAATTATGAAATGCCTTTCCTGAGAACTGAACGTTTTAAAAATAGCCCCATCCCTTATCTTATGAAATTAATTGAAGAATAAATTTAATTTTGCAATTTTTATTAACTTTATGAAATTTTGAACTGATGGTTTGGGTTAGCATTTGTATTGTCTTTAAAAATAGTCCCATCACTTATCTAATAAAATTAATTGAAAAATTAATCAAATTGTTCAATGTTAACGTAGTAAACTGATGGATTGGGTTTGCTTCTGTATTGTCTTAATGTGATGTTTTTTATTTTTTTCTCTCGTTCTTGTTTTCCTTTTGTACAAAATACGTCAATTCAGCTTTTTTGCTGCCAATGTATTTTTTTTATGAAGGAATAAAGATACGGTACCGATTATATATATATAAAATATAGAAAGACAGCAATATAAAACAGCTATGAGTTGTAGACATATTAGAAGCAATATAATTTATTAATTCACAAATATTTCAAACACTTCTGTGTTCTTCCTCAGTGTGAGGACAACTGACAAAAAATACAAAGTAAAGCAATATTCACACACGAAACGAAAACAGATATATATATATATATATATATATATATTCGGAGTTCGGAGTGCGCTACTTCACAGGGGGATTCGCCCCCGCCGGGGTCCTACGTATGTCGCAATACGTCTCCTTCCCCCTCTCCCCCCCCCCACCTTTCAAAATCAAAGTCCTGGCTACGTCCCTGCTTGGACCCTGACCACCGAGGAGGCTGATGATAGGCTTCCCCTTGCAGAAGTTGTACTTTTTCCGCCCACTTCATGTGACTTGTCGTCACCCCCGCCCCCGGTCAGGAAATTGCTCTGGAACCACCACTGAAACCACGTAAATCAATGAACCAAGTGGGTATAGGTTTTTTAGGATGTATTTTCGAAAAAAAAATTCATTATAATTTTTGTCAACTACAGTACTATATGATAGTCAAATTTGAAGTTTTTTAATTTAATGTGACGATGTCTGCCGCCCTCTATCTCCGCACCAAAGTTCCAATTTTTTAAAGTTTCATAATAGGGGAAGAAGTGTTATTTTGTGTGCAGTAGTGCGTATCAAATCATGTGCACGTAATCAATAGGAAAGGTAGGCATACTGTAATATATATCAGCTCAATCATTTATAAACCAGTGTTGAGCACAGTTTCCGCAAGTTAACATTATTGTCGAAATCTGTATAGCCCTGTGATTTTTTGGTAATACTAATAGGCCTACTTACCGCCGGTGTCTGCAAGATATGAAGTGTCACCTCACTTGCACATGATCACCGACTTCGAGCTTTTTTCGTCAAAGGCTAGCCTTTGATTTTCTCACGTCAGACTGTTCGTGCGACGGGACCTCCCGACTAGGATAGGTCTCTGTTGATATTTTCTCGAAGCAAACCGCTACTGTTCTTTCTCCCGTTAACCAGAGGGTAACATCGTTACTTTCAATTCTTCTTCCTGAATTTTATACATTGACCTAATTATAATTAACTTTGAATTGTCTGTTCATCTTCGACTGCCTGCTACGAATACGATGGAACCCATGGTGAATGGTGGCCCCAGGACCATGCCTCCAACGGTAAGTTCGATCCAGGTCTAGAGTATGGTAAGGCATAGGCCTAGGCTATGCCTGAACTTTATATCATCATCCAGGCCTAAAAAATACATTTTTGCTGATATAACATGCATATAATTAAACATTTTGCTTAATTTGTATATATTTCTTTCAATTGAAATTAGAACAAGAAAAAAAATTCTTGCGTTTAATTTCTGCAAGCAAATTTATCCCAGGTTTTTTTCAGTAACATTTCTCTTAAGTCTTTGAAACATTATTATCTATGACTTTTTAAAAGTTGGTAATTTTATGTGTTTTTGATTGAGCAATTAAACTTTGAGTTTTTTCATAATATTTGGAGTCTATTTTTATAGCAAAGCTCTTTATTATTGTGCATGTGAAACTTGTTTTTGATGTAAATTGACTGTCGTAGACAACATACAACGAAGAGTATATTTGTCTCTTGACAATATAATGAGGGAATTTTCTATTTCTAAATATATTGAGGGATTTGAAACTGCACAGCCCAAATATTTTGGAATTTTTGTTCATATTTATATTTGCCTCTAATTAATAACTAATTATGTGCAAACTACTTAATTTATTTACTTTTTTTGTAGCCTGTTTTGATACCTGTTGCAAGCTATGCAAATGGAGGCTACATCCCTAAACATTACAAGAAAACCAGAGAGTCATGCATTGCACTATCTTACAAAGGACCGGAACAAAATGACCCAACAACTAACATAGATTCTGACTCAGAAATGGACACAGATCAACCAAAAGATTTAAGTTTATTCAAAAAGGAACATCCAAAAAAGTTATTTCAACATAGGAATGAACAAATGACCCCTCCTTCTTCACTTGGTGAGGGATCTCCTCTATTGGAGGAAGACAGCCCGCAAATGCAAGGTAGTCAGAGTCCGTACTTGCTTCAAAGCCCTCATTCACATAAAAATAAGAGTCCAGATATGGGCAATAATCAGATCCAATACATTCCGCATACTCCAAGCCCAAACAGCCACAGCAATCAAAGTCCATATAGACAAGGTAGTCAAAGCCCATATAGGCAAGATAGTGAAAGCCCACAAATACGAGACCAATCACAGATTGAAACACCAGGATTAAAAAGAAAATTGCCGTCAGATATACGCACATCTTATGAAACACCATCAGAAGATGAGCCTACAGATCTCTCCATAAGGGATGTGGGACCAGAGGAAAATGGAGAAGAAATTGATGAAAAAACATTGACATCTGAATGGAGTTTTGAAGAGCAATTCAAACAGGTCTGTAAAAATATTATTATTTACCGTGATTAAAAATAGACATTTAAAGTTAACTGTAGGAAGATGTAATATTTCCTGAATAAATGAAATCAAAGAAATATTAGCAACATATAGTCTTCTCTGTTAAATATCACTTAATATTTATTATGCTTTTTTAGCTGTATGTCAGAGGATATTTCACTTCTAATTAATTTATTTTATTATGCTTTAATATTTCAAATAAGTGAAAAATGAATTTTGTGTTGGGGATCAGTGGTAGCACCAGTGGGGGAGGGGGTGCAGGGTGGGCAAATGTCCCATGGGGGGACAGGCCTGGACCTCCCTGTCTTCCGACGAACGACTAGGTCGTCGGACCAAAAATTTAAAAAAACTAATAATTTGTCTCTCCAATAATGCTATTTTGATTGCCAATCCCAAATATTGCGGTCTAAAAGCACATTTAGGACCAAATTAAGCCTTAAAAATTCCTCCCATGAACCCTAACAGCGATTTTTTTAATTCCGCACTGTTGACCGTGGCTTCATCGTTGCCTTGGTTCAGACCCCTCCGTCTCTTGTGGGCAAATTTCTGGCGCCATCACTGTTGGGGATTTGACAGTGGTATAGAAAATACTGTAAAGAAATACTGAACTCCAACACCCAAACAACTCCAGTTGGATAAAGTGTGTAGTGACGACCGTGTGTGCGCTGAACCTTAGAGATTTGTGCCTCCGACCATAAACATTTTTTTTATAAAATACCTCCAGCACCAAATGTTATTTGTACACTATAGGGCCAGTAACCCAACAGTTTATTTTTTAGAATTTTTTCCCCAAAAATTATACCTCCAACTGCCAGTCGCGCAGTCATGCTCTATTTCTAGCCCTGTTTATGTCGGTGGTTTTATTTTGTTAAGCTACGTTACTCGCAAAGTACAAGTTATAGCCTGCTGTAGCTTCTTTTGGAAGCCGTTGATCCTGTGTACAACATGGCCTATGTGAATGTTATTGTTAAAAAACTTGTCACTCTTTGGAAAGAACAGGGGCTTGCTTCCACTATTTTCATAAAGAATGTGTTTAACATCTTCATTTAATTAATTTAGTCAAGATAAAACCATACAGCACCATGTGTATATAAACATGACATAACTGATACTCATTGACAAAAAACCTCCAATTTTCTAGAAACTTTCTCATCCACTTCAAAAATACATAATAAGCACGTAAGGACATGAATAGTTAGATACATCAAACACTTCTGTCCTTATTCTTCGTCAATTCAACCAAGGGTTTGCAAATCACCTTTCCAATTACTGTCTTTGTTTGTGTTCAACATTACATTAAAGGCCTCTTGTCTACCACATCTAAAGGGTGTCAAAACCTGTAATAATACACACAAAAGGGGTGGTGAAAGGTGCTTAGGTTTATTGAAGTAAACCTATCAGAATCCTATCAATATGAAAAATCCTTAGTACAGCTTTAACAGAATGGTAGTAACATTTTGCAAACATGGGGAAAGAGAAGCCTTTCATAAAGGGGTTTTAGGATACATGGAGGTCCACAATTGCTTTTAGATTAAAGTTTTACCAAACTCTCAATTAAAGTACTTAAAAGAAACTGACTACTGTTTGAAAAAGCTATAAGAACATCTATTCTTTTTGAATATCTCTGCCCCTCCTCTTTCCTACAAGTAGTAGCCAAATCTATCAGTATCAATATCACTCTGAAACAGCAAAACATCCTATTAATTTAAAGAAATCTACATCTATATCATATTAATTTGTTTGTAAAGGAAATTATTTAGATTTTTAAGCTTGGTTTATATTATTAATATTATGTCTGGCAGATTTTTACAATTGATTGGTACAGGTTTACGCAATTAGGCAACCAGGTCTGAGGCGACATAGATGTTAACATTTTTGAAGGATGAATATAAAAAAAATTAGTGAAAAAGGGAATTGGCAAGGCCAGGATAAAACATTAGTGTTGGAAGCATGTATTGAGTAAAGTATAAATAATTTATAAAGTATTACATTATTACATTAGGATAGGCCTACTATAAATTTAAGATTTAGCATTTACATTTTGTAAAAAAAAATAATTTTTAGATAGAATAATTTTTAGAAAATTTCTCCTATAAATTCCCATTCTCAACTCTGGTACAAAATATTTATTTTACTAAACATGATTAGAAGGTTTTCTGACTTATGAATTAATCACTAGTCATTAATTATTCACCTCCATTGTGTTTGTTTAGTGGATGAATTGTTCATTGCTATTGTAAATAGAAATGTGGTACCAGTCTACAACATTTAATATTATTTACAGACTAGATAACTATGATCAATATCCTATAGATTCCGTCAGTTCATTGTATCAGAATTATAGTACAAAAAAACAGCGCATGCCCTAAGGGCACGTGAATTCAAGATCTTACCCTTGTTTGGACTTATTCAGAATTAATCTCTGATCACTGACTATTGAGTCATGCAAGATTACATCTAAAAGAATTTAACACCCTAGGGCAAATTAGTTTGTTACATCAGACTTCGTTTAAAAATAAGTTTAACAAAATTAAACGCAAACATTTTACAACAATACAAAGTCTGATTTTTATTGAAAGGTTTAACAAAAATAAATTTACCTGAAATATAAAAGCAAGAACTAAATATGGAGTAATACCATATTTATTGAAAACTATACAGTGCATTACATGATTTTAATAAAAAATAATATTAAAAATATTAATAATAATTTTTAATAATAATAATATTATTATTAATAATAGTAGTAATAATAATAACAATAATAATACATTTATAATGACAAAAATATGATTTATATAGTGCTGATATCCGATGCTTAATATTTTAATATAAAATATTCCCTACTTTGTGATGGCGATGATCAGGCCTTGTCATTTGGCCCTGAATGTCGTCACCAGAGTTTTTAAGGCAGTGCAGTCTAATCTCTTAACCATATTCAAGTAGAACTTAGTGGAGAGGTTTAAGGTTTGAAATATTACAATATTTGTACACCTAGGTTTTGGGTTTGATGAAAACTGCTAATATATTATCAAATGCCTTGTGTATAGACAACTTAGGCTTTTTTCCACAGTTTAGCTGGCAATGTAAAGTTAAAAGGGTACTAAACTGTATCTGTTGACGTGGGGAAAAATTGCTTGCCTGTAATGTTTTTAAAAACATTGCAAACACATCAAGTTAATAAGACAATTAAAGTTTTGCAATTTTCCTCTGGGGACTTGGGGAGGCCTTCAGTTTTTTGTTCGATATCTGCGTGGCATCATTTTGCCTCAAAGAGGAAACAGGACATTAAACCCGAAACTTCCTTTGGTTACATTTTAGCAAAAAAAAAAAAAAAAAAAAATCAAACACTCCAGTATTAGGTGAAATGGTTAAACTTCAAAATGTGGTCAATTGATAAATTCTGTAAGTGTCACTTTGCTGTAAAGTCATAAAATGTGATTTTGTTTCTTGAATTACTAATAGTTTACCTAATAATTCTAGAATTAGCAAATTATGATATTAGGCCTAATAATAATGATACTGTACCTTACCTACGTACCCTAAAGTATCAAAACAGTACTGTATACATCTATCGATCCATTCATCTATTCATCCATCCATCTATCCATCATCCATCAATTAATCCATTAATCTATCCATCCTTCAATCCATCCATCCCTCCCTCCCTCCATCCATCATCCAACCATTCATCCATGCATGCATCCATCCACCTATCCATCGATCCATCCAATCATCCTTCCATCGATCGATCGATCGATCCATCCATCCATCTATCCATCCATCTTTCTATCCATCCATCCATCCATCCATCTATCCATCCATCTTTCTATCCCTCCATCCATCCATCCATTTATCCAACCTTCCATCTATCCATCCATCCATTCATTCATTCATCCATCCATCCATCCATCTATTCATTCATGACAGTTATCTACTGTATTTATACCAACAGCTGTATCCTACTATATCCTAATTGACCTACTACAGTCTACCTGCTATGTACAGTAGTAGTAATAGTAGTATTTTTTACTCTATTGTAATTATTAGATATATACAGTATCATTTAGAAAGCAATTTCATATTGTGTTTTTCAGTTGTATGAGTTAACAGATGACCCAGACCGAAAAGTTTTCCTAGATAAGTTGTTCATATACATGCAGAAAAGAGGTAAGAATTATGACTAAGAGTTTAATTATCAAATGTCAAATGTGAGATGAGATAATTCTAATTTTTTAGATGAAGTAAGATTTTGAGATAATTAGGAGAGCAAAATTATAAAAAAAAAATAAAGTAAAAGAAATTAAAAGATATAGTTTCTTTCAAGGTGGTAGAAATAGTGCAGCTTTTAAATGCAAGAATGATTGGTAATACAGTAGATCTATGGTAATGGCAATATGATGTGCTTACTGTGCATGATATTATCTTTACTCTGATAAAGATTGTGAGCTATCACTTGGTATTCAGAATCTTTTTTGACTTTTTAAAGTGTAAGATTTTTTAAAAATCGTAAACGCTAGCTTATCGTAGATTGTGATATCCTCTATGTTTGTTAATTCCTTGTAGCTCATTAATAATCAAGCAGTTCATCTGTAATTGAATTCCATTTGTTCATTAATTTCTACTGTTTCAAAGTCATCACCAGTGACAAATTGATTTACCAATCTACACCATTGCGATGGAATAATGCCATTACATTTAATATAACCAAATTAATGAATGCATGCAATGTCACAAATCAATGGGCTTTCGCACAAGTTTAATTACGGTACTAGCTCCTGTACAATCCATGGTGCATAATGACTATGGTTTAGTTGTTGGTCCAACTTATCTTACATCAATTAATCTATGTTGAATGGTTCTGTAATTCTGACTTCTGTTGTGTGTTTGTAATCAAGGCCCCTGATTGTTAGAGGAGTATTATTTGCTTATACATTTTGATGTTAAAGAAGACAACCTGTAATACAGAGATCTCTTGATTATTATCGATCAGTACAACTGATTGTACAGCAGAGTATTTGATTTGATCTTTTGATATGTTGATAAAACTACAGTAAAAATATAGCTGTACAGTAGGTGATTTTGTTTATTGATAAAAATATTTGATGATTCTGAAAATAATAGTAAATAATATAATCAATATAAATAAGAGTAGTCATTGTGATGATGACTCAAAATGATGATTATGTACGGTAGATATGATGATGATGGTAATATTTTTGTTGATATGATGATAATGAGGGTGATGAAAATGATGATAGTGATGATGATAATGGCATTGATGATGATTATAAACAATGATGATAAAGATATTGAGGATCAGGTGATAATTCTTGATGGTGAGAAGGAAAATGTGGATGATAATGATAGTGATGATCCTATGGTAGTCAACCTATTAAAGAATTAAGATAAAACTTTGTGAACTCCGAATGCACATTATCAATGAGTGATTCTAAATATTAACATATATTCATATTTGACATAGCTAAAATATTAACTAAAACTGTATAATGAGCTTGGCACATCCTAAATTTTACTGTGTGTTACTAAATCTTCATGTTTTAATACCAAGTGTACAATCTAAAATGGAATTCAATTCAATGCAATTTAGTTTCTTTTATTCATCATATAAAAAATAGTGTACATGATAATTGAAATGAAAATATAACCCCTTATCTGGTATCATTTTTGGTCTCGCATCATATAGTATTCTGATACTATCATGTCAGCGATATATCTGAATTATTCTTTTCTTAGGCTCTGGCACATGAACATACAGTAGCTAAGTCACAATTATTTTTTGTTATCTTTTATGAATAGAAAATATGATTTATTAAGAGAACACTGTCTAGTGATTTCAATACCTGTTTGCACGTTATTATGCTCTTTACAAATCAAAGTATTTTTGTAAAATTTTAGAATAGGCAAAGACCGATTATATGAAGAGTTAGGTGAAGTTTTTGTTTTAATAATTAGTTAGTTTTCAGGATTAACAATTTAAACCATCGTGTAGTAGAATCTGAAAGGTGTTTAATTGGGATTTTAAAACCATTTGATGGAAACTCACTAAACACTGAAGAGGATTTGTTTTTGAGTGATTTCTTTTTAGTCTCATTTAAAAATTAAATAGTAAAGGAGATGTATTCTGGATTAGACACTTTTGTCCAGAATTTACTACCAAACACTTGTGAATAAGCTTGCTTTCTGTTTGCATATTAAAGAATAAAATTCACAAGTGCATGACCTACACCAGCTGATCTTGCTTAAAAATCGTGAATGTTCCATTGAAATTCCAGTAAACACATCCAAATAAGTACTGAATACTTGTTGAATTGGCCAGAGAATGTAAAAGGCATTACCCTATCAATAGACATTAAAACACAATTTTAAGAGCAGCTTGGTAGAATCTTTAGGCAGGGATTTGCTCCTTTCATAGGCCTATCACTATCAAGTTTTCCTGTTTACCTGCTGATTGTATTAGGCCCTTATGGGTGATAATTGTTGCATTTGTTCCAGTATTAGGTGTACTTGATTGATGCAAATTGCATTTCTTGGAGAACAATAGGCTGAGGGTCTTCTGATGAAGGGGAAAACAATAGACTAAGATCTGGGATGGAATGAAATGCACCTTATACTAAAACCACTGTTGATTTGGCTGTAGGACAAAGTAGGTGAAACTTAAAGAAGGTTTAGCATAAGGATGTGAATCTAAAGAAGATTATTGATGATGGCTCAGTGACATGTATAAATATGACATCATTATTGATGTAAATGACACTATCACATGCCAATTATATTTTGGGATAAATACAATTTTTAAAAAATATTATAGTAGATTTAATTTTTAGAATGTATATCTCAATTAAATATACAGAAATAATTATATTGTCCAATTATAAAACCAGAAATATATATACTGTATTTTTACATCTCACAGACAAGATAATAGTAATTACACAATAAATGATAGAAGATCATGTTAAAACAAACAAAACAAAGTATATGGTTTTATTTCTAAAAATATAATATTTGGTTTTGTTACCTGAAATATGTTGTGCCCTGTTCCCCCAAGCTAAACCAACTGGAAATTTACTTAGCAGAAAAAAAAAAATATCAAGTTGTTATTATTATTATTATTATTATTATTATTATTATTATTATTATTATTATTATTATTATTATTATTATTATTATTATTATAGTGTCCATTACACTCACATTCTTAATTTGGAGTTTGGAGAAGAACCTAATTTTTTTGTTACTTTAACTTTTTTAGAGTGTAAATAGAGGATGTTTTAAATTCCAATATATGTTACCATCTCTTGTTGCTTTTTAGGCCAGCTTATGGCTAGGTTAGGCTAAGCTAAGCTATGGTAGGCTGGGCTGGGCTTAGGCATATACAGGCCTAGATAACTGGTTTCAGTAAAATATGCTACATGCTATTAACAACAGATTTTGCCGATGCTAATTTCTCAATCGATTCGGGGAGACTTCCCAATTGCATTGAGATAAGCTATACAGTGTAGTGATTGCGGCGAAAACACTGTATAGTGTAGCAATTTTATTGAAACCAGGCTTTCCAAGGTAACCATTAGTGTATTCAATAACAGTTTAATTTTAGGTGGTCTACCCAAGTTGTTACTTTAGTGTGATGTATGCTTATTGAGAACAGTTTAATTTTGTTGTCACCTACTTAATTTCTTATTACTAATGAGCATCATACTTTTTTTATGCCAATCAACTAGGTATTGTAGATTTGACTTAATAGTTGAAATCAATAAAGAATTTTATTCTTGTCCTTAATAATCAAACAGCCTTCTTTCACTCTTCTCGTCAATGTCTTATCTTTTAATTATGATTACTCTCCTGCAATATAATTAACACTAATTACAATTAGTTGTCATCGCTTTTGTTTACTTATCTTTAGAAATAGCCTTAGAGCTTTATTGAGTTAAAAGCATAAAGCCAGTGGACAGACAAATTGGTTTAGTATTTTTGTGAAGAGCCAGAAAAAAAAATCAATTTTATACTGAGTCTTTACAACTTGTGTCTAATTGCTTGTGGTGAATGAGATTACTAGATGTAATTAAATATGTTTGATGGTTTGAATGCTCCAAGTACGCCAATTGCAATAGAATCAGGTTAATTATCGAGGAGATGATGGCTATTAAGAATAATGACAAAAGAATATGTTGGCACTTTATTATGATATTATTAATATAATATATACTTAATCATTTGCATTATTGTCAATGTCATGAATTATAATCATGAGCATTGTCAACATGTCATGAAATCATCCCACGCTTGTCAATTTAGACCACAAACAATCATTTATCAAGTGTAGTCCTCAGTATTTAGTAACTAGTGACTCAATTTCTTTCTATCAACATGAATGCTGGGAAAGAACCACTTTTTAGGTGTAAACACATTTTGGGGTTTTTTTTTTTTTTTTTTGCTTAATATGCAGCACCAGCATGTGAAATCTGGGGGTGGGGAGTGTGGGCAAGTGAGGAGTTAGGTAATGTTGTAGTGGGGGGGGGTATTATGTATTCCCATAGCAGACCAAAGGTACAATTATAATTTATAAAATCACATGAATGGGTAATGCTTCTGATGTGCTTGTTATCTTTATTTAAGTGCTCATAATTACAAATGTGAAAGGTTTGTTTAAAATGCCTTTTTTTAAAGGGGCCAGTGGCCTTGAAATGACAGACAGACCAATAAGAAAACACAAACCATTCCTTGAAATTAAATAAAACATAATGACTTTATTAGAAAGAAATGTAGAAGCAACTTAGGCAAAATAATGCAATTGTGCATATTTTTTTTATTCTGAGTATGAAATCCTAAATAAACAGAAGTAAAGTAGTTATCCTCTTTTTTAATTACTATTTGTTCACAAACAACAGATGGGGTAAGAGTTACATGTGCCAAAATCATGAGCCTTTTCAACAGTGTAGTAAGCTTTCACTTTCTCTCATATCCAAGTAAGAGTATTAATGTTCTATTGTGGGTCATTATGTATCTAATGGCTTAGCTAGTCTTCACATTGTTTGTGGGTTGTAACTTCCATTTATATGAGCTCTGGCAAATTATGGGAGGTTTGAGGGGGGTAGTATTATACTTGAATGCCAGGGCTTAACCTACCAAATAGATATCTTGCAATT